TCAGCTAGCTTCTCCTTCAGTGATCTGCTTTGGGAGGGGCCCTGTGGCACCTGGAGGGAGTCAGACCTGCCGCTGGAGGTATGGATCCGCAGAAGCACAGGGTTGGATGTTTGTGCGGTGCAAGCAAGTTCCCCGGCAGGAACTGGTTCCCTTTGGGATTTTGGCTGGGGGATGGGCGAGGGAGATGGCGCTGGCGAGCGCCTTTGTTCCTGGCCAAGCCGAACTCTTTCTTCTGGGGCTCAACAACTCTCCCTCCCATTGTCCTCTAGTCCTCCCGCTCTCTCTGAGCAGAGCTGTTAACTTATAACCTCCCAGATATTAAGTCCCGCTTGCTGTCAGAACACACTCCGTCAGGCCCCTCCGCTTTTGCAAGCCAGACTCTGGGGGCTCTGCTTGGCTGGCGGGCTGCCCCTCCGCCCCAGCTCCCTCCCGCCAGTCCGTGCAGCGCGCACTGCCTCTCTGCCCTTCCTACCCTCTTCTGTGGGCCTCTAGTGGGCTCTTGGCTGCAGAGAATCCTTTCTGCGAGTCTTCTGGCAGTTTTCTGGGTTATTTAGGCAGGTGTAGGTGGAATCTAAGTGATCAGCAGAACGCAGTGAGCCCAGAGTCCTCCTACGCCGCCATCTCTGGCATAGGCTTTTTTCGATTACTGAAAATGCTTTTAACAGAGCAGAAAGTTTTTAATTTTAATGAAGTCCAGTTTATCCATCATTTCTTTCATGGATCATGATTTTGTTGTTGTATCTAAAAAGTCATTACCATATCCAGCATCAGCTCTTCTCTTATTTGATCTTCTAAGAGTTTTATAGTTTTGTGTTTTACACATTTAGGTCTATGACCCATTTTGAGTTAATTTTTGTGGACGGTGTAAAGTCTGCATTTGGATTTTTTTTTTTTTTTTTTTTTTTTTTTTTTTTTTGGTCTTTGCTTCATTGTATTGTCTTAACTACTTTGTCAGGAATCAGTGGTGGGGTACCTGGGTGGCTCAGTTAAGCCTCCGACTTCTGCTCAGGTCATGATCTCATGGTCCGTGAGTTCGAGCCCTGCACTGGGCTCTGTGCTGACAGCTCAGTGCCTGGAGCCTGCTTCAGATTCTGTGTCTCCTTCTCTTCCAGCCCTCCCCCGCTCATTCTCTGTCTCTCTGTCTCTCTCAAAAATAAATATTAAAAAAAATTTTTTAAAGGATCAGTGGACTATATTTATTCTGGGCTCTCCATCTGTCTCATTGATCTATTTGTCTCTTGTGTTTTTGTCAATACCACACTGTCCGGATTTTGAAAGCTTCATAGGAATTCTTGAAGTCAGGCAATATCAGTCCTTTAAATTTTTTTCTTGTTAAATACTGAGTTGGCCCTTCTGGGTCTTTTGCTTCTCCATATAAACTTTAAAATCTGTTTGTTAGTATCCACAAAATAACTTGCTGGGATTTTAGGTGGGATTGATTTTGTATTTAACCTGTACCCTGCAGACTCGCTATAATTGCTTACTAGTTTGAGGAATTTTTTTGTCAATTCTTTAGCATTTTCTATACAGATGATAAAGTCATCTGTGAAGAAAGACTGTTTTATTTCTCCCCTCTCAAACTGTAGGCATGAGTTAGGACTTCCAGTGCAATATTGAAAAGCAGGTGAGAGGGGACATCTTTACCTTGTTCTTGATCTTAGTGTGAAAACTTTCAGTTTCTCAACATTAAATATGATTTTTATCTGTAGGTTTTTTTGTGGATATTCTTTGCCAAGTTGAGGAAGTTCCCCTCTATTCCTAGTTTACTGAGAGCTTTTGTCATGAATGGCTATTGGATTTTATCAAATGCTTTTTGTGCATCTATTGGTATGATCATGTGATTTTTCTTCTTTAGCCTGTTGATATGATAGAATACATGGATTGATTTTTGAACATTGAACGAACCATGCATGTGTACCTGGGATATATCCCACTTGGTCATGGTGTATAATTCTGTTTATTCATTGCTGGATTCAATTTGCTAATGTTTTGTTCAGGATTTTTTCACTTATATTCATGAGAGATATTAGTCTATAGTTTTCTTATAATATCTTTATTTGGTTTTTGTATTAGGGTAATTCTAGCCTCATTGAATGAGTGTAAGTGTTCACTTTGCTTCTGTCTTCTGAAAGGGATTGTAGAGAATTGGTGTAAATTCTGCATGAAGTATTTGGCATAATTCACCAGTGAACCCATCTGGACCTTTCTAGTTTGGAAGATTGTTAATTATTGATTCAACTTCTTTAATAGATTTTGAGCCTATTTAAATGATCTGTTTCTTCTTGTGTGAGTTTTGGCATATTGGGTCTTTCAAAGAATTGGTCTTTCATCTCAGTTTTGAGGGATTGAGTTGCTTATAGTATCCTTTTATTATCCTTTTAATTTCAGTGGGACCTTTGGTGATTGAGGTCCCTTCTTTTTTTTCTGTTACTAGTAACTTTTTTCCTCTTTTTTTTTTCTTTTCCTTAGCCAGACTAGGAGCTTATTTTTTTGTTGTTGTTGTTGTTTTGTTTTTTTGTAAAGCTTTTGGTTTCATTGATCTTTCTGTACTAATTTCTGGTTTCTAATTTCATTGATTTCTGCTCTATTTCTTATTTCTTTTCTTCTGCTTACTTTGGGTTTAATTTGCTCATTTTCTAGTTTCCTAAAAAAAACTTGTGTTTTTAGATCTCTTTTCTTTTTAATATATGCATTCAATGCTATAAATAGCTGTCTAAACACTGCTTTCGCTGCATCCCAGAAATTTGGTAAGTTGTATTTTCATTCTCACCCAATTCAAAATATTTTAAAATTTCTTTTAATATTTCTCTTTTGACCCATGTGCTATTTAGAACTACATTGTTTAATCTCCACATATTTTGGAATTTTCTGGTTATATTTCTGTTATTGACTTCTAGTTTAATTCCATTGTGGTCTAAGAGCAGAGATATATGATGTCAGTTATTTTTAATTTGTTAAGGTGTGTTTTATGGCTTAAGATGTGGTCTGTCTTGGTGAATGTCCTATATGAGTTTGAGAAGAATGTGAATTCTGCTGTTGTTGGGTGAAGTAGTCTATATCAGTTATATCCAATTGATTGATGTTATTGGTGCATTCACCTGTATCCTTACTGCTTTTCTTCTGCCTATGGGATCTGTCCAGTTTTGAGAGACATGCATTCTTCTGTTTCTCCTTGCAGTTCTATTAGTTTTTGTCTCACATAGTTTCATGTTCCACTGTTATGTCCATAAACATGAAGGATTATTATGTCTCTTGGAGAAGTGAACCCCTTATCATTATTGTAATATACTTCTTAATCCCTGATAACTTCCTTGCTTTGAAGTCTCCTCTGTCTGAAATTAATATAGCTGTTCCAGCTTTCTTTTGATTAATGTTAGCATGGTATATTCCTCTTTATCCATTTATTTATATTTAAAGTGAGTTTCTTGCAGGCAACATATGTATAGGTCTTATTTTTTGATCCCTCTAACAATTTGTTTTTAATTGGTATATTTAAACCATTGATGTTCAGAGTGATTACTGATATAGTTGGATTAATATCTGTTATATTTGTTAATGCTTTCTAATTGCTGCCCTTCTTCTTTGTTCCTATTTGTGTTTCCCATTCTTTTTCTGCATTTTGTCATTTTAATTGAGCATTTTCTGTCATTCCATTTTCTCTCCTTTCTTAGCGTATTTTGGTAATATTTATTGTTTTTTAGTTTTTTAGTGGTTGCCTTAGAGTTTTTAATATATATTTACCACTAATGTAAGTCTACTTTCAAATAACACTAGAGTCAGCACCCTATAATAACAAAATAATCCTAATTTCTCTCTCCAGTCCCTTGTATCACTGTTATCATTGATTTTATAATATGTAAGCATATATATACATGTATATATATACATATATGCATATGCATACATAATTGAATAAATTATTACTGTTATTCCCTTATTTGTATTATTCCAGGATCTGGGGAATGCTGTTAATATGTAGACCACAGAATAATGGAATTTGAGAGTCCTAAGAAACAGATTTCTCATGCAAGTGAGCCCCAGAAAAAAACATTTAACAAAGTAGTGAAAGACTTTGGAATTAAACAGCCCTGATTTGAATCCAATTTAGCCATCAGCTGTATGAGCTGAGGGGAGAATGGTAGCCCCTCTAAGTCTCAGTGTCCATGATTGTAAAATGATGGGAGCCCATGAGTAACTAGGGGGCTGTGGCAGGTAAATGAGATAATGTAACACTTATGACCATCTGGTATGCTGTACATATAATTAATTTGTTTTTCTGTGTAAACTGCAGGAGGTTATGGATTTTTGACTGTTTCACTCCTGCTACATTCTAGTGTCTAGAACAATGCCTAATAGTCCCTCACAAATATGCATTGAATGATTTATATAAAGTGGTTAGTCGTGTCTGGAATTTAATGACAGTGGTTGTTGAAAATGATGACGACAACAATAAAAAGCCTAAATCAAATTTTCTGGGAAGCCCATGTTAGCACTCACAGTTGTTCTGATAATTATATTGCCAAGTAATTTTAAATTAGTAAATATTCTTACTAATCCCCTTACTGAAAATGTCTTCTTTTTTCAGTGGAGAAAAAAATTTTCATATTTTTTACTATATCTATGCTGGATTAGCTGAAAAGAAGAAACTAGCCCATTACAAACTGCCTGAAAATAAGCCTCCCAGGTAAGGTCACCACCTTATACAAGGTGGTACTTGTATAAGTAATATTTTCACTTCTGATTGAACTTTAGATTTTGACCCATCCTTTCATATTTTTTTCAGATATCTACAAAATGACCACCTCAGAACAGTACAGGATATGATGAATAATAGTTTCTATAAATCCCAATATGAATTAATTGAGCAATGTTTCAAAGTCATAGGTTTTACAATGGAGGTAAGTATGAAAGACATTTGGAACCTCTTTAGGAAATATCATTTTGTCATCACTAATGGTAAGAATGAGCATTTATTGAGTGATTAATATATGCCAGGCATTGTACTAAGTGTTTTATGTGAATCATTCTTTTAATTACTGAAACAACCTTACAGAATAACGAGAATACTTACTAGAATTTTACAATATTTACTTCATATGTAAAGAGATGGTGGCCATGACATATAATTGAATTTCATTTTGTTCTGAATCTTTCATTTATATTTGCATCTCCCATATATATTACATTTTGCATAAATACCTAAATGGGAGTGCTAGTGGAGTCTTTTTTTAGTGCAGTTTTTTAATACAACTTTATTAAGGTGTAATTCACATACCATACAAGTCAGCCATTTAGAGTGTACATTTTAATGACTTTTAGTATATTCAGAATTATGCATCCATCATCATAATCATTTTTAGAATATTTTCATGTTCTAAATTTTTCACTCCCAAAAGAAACATGCTAGTGATTAGGAGTTCCTCCTCATTCTTACCCATTTTTGCTTTCTGTCACCATGGATCATTTTATTCTGGACATTTCACATAAACAGAGTGATGCAATACATCATCCTGTGTGGCTAGCTTCTCTCATTTAGCATAGTAATGTTTTCAAGGTGCACGCATGTTGGATGGAGCATGTGTCAGTAGTTCATTTCTTTTCATTGTTGAATAATACCTCATTTTATGGATATACTTCATGTTATTTATCCGGTCATCAGTTGATAGACATTTGGGTTGTTTCCATTTGGGGGCTATCATGAATAATGCAGCTGTGAACACTCATGTACAATTTTTTGTGTGGACGTAAGTTTCCATTTCTCTTTGGTGTATACCTAGGAGTGGAACTACTGAGTCATAGGGTAACACTGTGTTGAACCTTTTGAGGAACTGCTAGACTGTTTTCCAAAGCAGCTACACTAGTTTACATTCTTACCAGCAGTGCGCAAAGTTTCCAGTTTCTCCATATCCTCCCCAACATTTACTATTATCTGTCTTTTTTATTATAGCCATCCTAGTGGGTGTGAAGTGGTACCTTATTGTGGTTTTGATTTGCATTTACCTAATGGCTTATGACCCTGAACTTCTTTACGTGTACTTATTGGTCATTTATGTATCTTGTGTGAAGAAATGTCTATTCATACCCTTTACCTTTTTAAAAAATTGGGTTGCGTTTTTATTATTGAATTGTTAAGGATTATTTATGTTGTAAATACAAGTCCCTTATCAGATAAGTGATTTGCAAAAATTGTCTCCCTTTTGTTATCTTTTTACCTTCTTTTTTCTTTTTTCTTTTTTTTTAAACTTTAATTTTGAGAGATAAAGAGAGAGAGACAGAGCACAGGGCAGGGAGGAACAGAGAGAGAGAGAGGCACAGAATCCAAAGCAGGCTCCAGGTTCTGAGCTATCAGCACAGAGCCCGACGCAGGGCCCAAACTCACAAATTGCGAGATCATGACCTGAGCCGAAGTCGGACACTTAAATGACTGAGCCACCCAGACGCTCCTATTATCTTTTCACTTTCTTGATGGTGTCCTTTGCAAGTATACATGTTTTTAATTTTTATGATGTCCAGTTTATCCATTTGTCTTTTGTTGCTTGTTATTTGTGTGTCATATATAGGAAACTATTGACTCATCCAAAGTCACAGAAATTCATACCTAAATATTCTTCCAGGAGCTGTATTGTTTTCACTCTTGTATACAGGTTACTGTTCCACTTTGAGTTAATATTTGTGTCTGATGTGAGATAGCTTCTTTTGCATGTAGATATTCAGTTGTACCACAACCATTTGCTGAAGACTGTTCTTTCCCCATTGCTGGGTTTGGCATCTTTGTGAAAATCAGTTGACCATAGAGGCGCCTGGGTCGCTCAGTGGGTTGAGCATCTGACTTCAGCTCAGGTCATGATCTCACTGTTCCTGAGTTTGAGCCCCACATCGGGCTCTCTGCTTTTAGCACAGACCCACTTCACAACCTCTGTCCCCCTCTCTCTCTGCCCCTGCCCCCTCGTGCTCACATACACTCTCTCTCTCTCTCTCTGTCTCTAA